AGTCAACCCTGAGCTGGTGAGATTTGAACAGCCGAACTGCAGAACTGCAGTCAGCTGAAGTAGCCTGCAGTGCTGCATTTAACCACAGCGCCACCCCATTCCCTCCCGATCAGAGGTGGTATTTGCCGGTTCTCCAACTACTCAAAATTTCCGCTACTGGTTCTAAAGAACTGGTCAGAACCTGCTGAATACTACCACTGATCTGGAGGTGGGGTAACCTGAAGGTGGGTGGAGAGAATTCCGGGGATTGAAGTTCACATTTCTTGGGAATTCTGGGGATGGAAATCCACCTTTGTGAAGATTCTGGGAGTTGAAATCTAGAACTTGAGAATTCTGGGAGTTGAAGTTTGTAATTCATGGGAATTCTGGGGGTTGATGGCCTTACTTCTTGGGAATTCTGGGAAGTGAAAATCCACAAACCTCCTGGGAATTCCGAAGAGGGAGACCCAGATCTCTTTGGAATTCTGGAGGTTTGAGTCCATATTTTGGGGGGATTCTGGGAGTTGAAGCCGACCCAGCTTGGGAATTCTGGAGGTTGCAGTCCATATTTTGGGGGAAGTCCATATTTCTGGGAGCTGAAGCCCACAGATCTTAAAGTTGCTAAGACTGACAAAAACGCCCCCCTTAGTTTCCCCCCATTTCTTTTTAAGACTCTCAAACTTTTCCTGCTCCATGGTTCTGGGTTGAAGGCCCCCAATTCTTGCCATGTATTGGTTGTTAAGCGTGAAAAAAAAGTCATGTCACTTTTTTTCAGTGCTGTCGTAATTTCAAAAGGTCAGTAAACTAATGGTTGTAAGTCCGAGGACCACCTGTATGCAACCCCCCGGGGCAGCTAACAAAGTACAGGTAGGCCTCAAGATCACAACTGAGCCCAAAATGTATGTTGTTAAGTGAGAAATTTGTTAAGTGAGTTTTGTTCCATTTTACAACCTTTCTTGCCCCAGTTGTTAAGTGAATCATTGCAGTTGTCAATTCAATAACATGGTTTTTACTGTACTGCCATAAAATGGCTTCTACTGTACAGGGCAGTGGAGTTGCCATGGTAACAGCTTCACAATACTCCACAAGGNCAGGGCAGCTAGCAAATCAAATCAGGGAAGGGGGGGGGGGAAAGACAAAAAATAAAAAATAAACGATACATAACAATACATAATTTAAAAACATACAACAGTCATACTATTCAAGACGGGGTGGGGGGAGTCCGGACATCTTCAAGTGGCCAAGGTTGAGAAACACTGCCCTAGACCCTTTCAGGCAAGTGATGGAAGAGAATCTTTTCATAGAGAATGTTCTCCAGCTTGGGAAAAAAAATCTCCCATAATTATTTGGGGTGGGGGCACCACTTCTAATGAGGCTGGGGCGGGGAGAGACATCCATGCACCTCTCCCATCCCTGAACTCAAGCAATTCCTCTTTGGGGATTTTCCAACAAGCAAAGTCCGTGGGGAAGTCCCTAGTCCTAACAACTGAAGCGATTCACTTAACAACGGTGACAAGCTGTGAAATGGAACCAAACCCGTTTCACCGCTGTCTGGCTTAGCAACAGAAATATTCGGCCCAATTGTGTTCATACAAGCTTGGTAGGATTTATCGAACAAGCTTGGTAGGAGAAAGTCAGCTAATTCTTAAAGGTAATTTCCCAACCTTAATGACTGGGCGGATGAGACAGGGTTCAAAGAGGGTTTAACTGGAAATCACCTTGAGTTTTTGGCAGGTTTTTATACTGGAGTATTGTGGAAAGTTAAGGTTTTTGTTTTAAACCTTTATTTATTTTCCCTTTAGGGCAGGTTTTCTGGCGCTTCCGCAAGCATGTCGAGCGGCAGCACGAAAAACAGGCGAGGAAGGAAGTCCAAATCCGTTGGCAGCTGCAGGGCCAACTGAAGCCAGGGATGCAAAATTGGATCCACGCTAAAGCAGGGGATATCTCTCAACCTCTGGATCACTTCAACCGGCAGGAGAGACGTGTCTTTAACCAGGTTAAACAATGGGGGTTGAGAACTGACAGCTGTCTACATTCAGGTTGGCCCCGCCTTGGTGACGTTTCTCAACCTGGGCGGGTTTAAGAAGTGTGGACTTCAACTCCCAGAATTCCCCAGTCAGTGAGCTATTGAATGTTAAGAAATGTGGGCTTCAACTCCCAGAATTCCCCAGTGTCCTATTGAGTGTTAAGCTGTGTGGACCTCAACTCCCAGAATTCCCCAGTCAGTGTGCTATTGAAGTTCTAAGATTTATGGACTTCAACTCCCAGAATTCCCCATTCAGAGTTCTATTAAATTTTAGGATAAGCCAACTTCAACTCCCAGATTTCCCCAGTGTCCTATTGAGTGTTAAGCTGTGTGGACTTCAACTCCCAGAATTCCCCATTCATGGTTCTATTAAATTTTAGGATAAGCCAACTTCAACTCCCAGAATTCCCCAGTGTCCCATTGAGTGTTAAGCTGTGTGGACTTCAGCTCCCAGAATTCTTTAGCCAGTNGGACATCTTCAAGTGGCCAAGGTTGAGAAACACTGCCCTAGATCCTTTCAGGCAAGTGACGGAAGAGAATCTTTTCATAGAGAATGTTCTCCAGCTTGGGAAAAAAAATCTCCCATAATTATTTGGGGAGGGGGCACCACTTCTAATAAGGCTGGGGCGGGGAGAGACATCCATGCACCTCCCTCATCCCTGAACTTTGACCTCAGTTATATTGCACGGTTTATTCGAAATTTATTTCTGCACAATATGGGAAATTCCTCGCCTTACGGCCGCTGCTGAGCCCCAAATCCCCCGTTCCTAATTGAGATAGTAAAACGGAACTTTGCTCCCTTTTACAACCTTTTCTTGCCGCCGCCGTTAAGCGGATCGCTGCTTAAGTTAGCGACACAGTCGTTCTGTGAATCTGGCTTCCCCGTTGGTACGTTGCTTGTGCCGAAGGTCGCAGAAAGGGATCACGTGAGCTCAGGACAATGCAACCGTCGTAACTATGAGTCAGTTGCCAAGAGGTTGGGTTTGGATCACGTGACCACAGCGAATGCTGTGAGAAATGGTCATTAGGCACATTTTTCAGGATTGCTGTCACTTCCAACGGTCACTAAACAAACAAGTGAGCTAAGGAGGAATATTCTGAATTTCTTTTCTGCACAAAGGGCCTGGGATTTATTTCCGCCAGTTAGATTCTGCAATTGATTTGCGCACAATTCATTTGGAATTCCTTCTGTGCAACGTATTCTGAGTTAATCTCGCCCAGGTCTCCCCCCCCCCCCAATCAAATCAAATCAAATCAAATCTTGGAACTGTGGCTGATAAAATCTCTGAGTCACTGTCAGCAAATGGGTGTCTTGTGACTGATTTTTGTTATTTTATTTGTTGATAAAACGTTTAGCTTCTGAGAATTAAGAAGCCGGAACGGATCTTCTCCATGCTGGGTTTCATTTCTCTAAAAGCAGCTTGAAAAGGGCATCTGACTCCTCCACCCGTTGTGAGAAAACGAGGAACTAAAAGTGACTTGTAATTTACTTGGAAGTTTCTTGCCATTGCAAAAACAGCGTGGCTTGTAATCGGAGAAAGGGCTGAACTTCCAGGTATGCAGAGAAACTCAACGGATGCCTGAATGGGCCGCTTGCCAGGGACAAATGTAACTTAAGCATGCGGCAGATTAACAGAGTTGGAAGGGACCTTGTAGGTCATCTAGTCCAGCCCCCTGGCCATCATTTCATCATTTATTATATTTATATGCTGCCCTTTTCCCCCGAAGGGGACTCAGGGCAGCTAGCAAATCAAATCAGGGAAGGGGGGGGGGTACAGACAAAAAATAAAAAATAAACGATACATAACAATACATAATTTAAAAACATACAACAGTCATACTATTCAAGACGGGGTGGGGGGAGTCCGGACATCTTCAAGTGGCCAAGGTTGAGAAACACTGCCCTAGACCCTTTCAGGCAAGTG